ACAGCTGATTCGAGAAATAAGCTGTAGTTAAGCAAGCTGGAGCGGATCGCTTGCAGAAGTCCTAAGGGTCGGAGCGCGTGTGGAGAACAGGCATGATGGATTCGAGTGAAAAATAAAACAGGCAAGATAGTTGTGAAATTCCAATCACGGATAAGAAACAGGATCAAGAGAACATGTTCGTTCGTTAATGAGATTCCAGAGTGGTCTGCACTTACAGCGGATGAAATGCTAATGTAGTGACAGAGCGGAAAAGGACGCAAAAGACGCGACTGGGGGCTCAGTAGTAAATGCAGGAAACTAATGAGTAATCCGTGTTGGGTATGAGAGGTCGGCAGTAATAGGTATAGCGAAGTGCGATGAATCCAGTCGCCTTCGTTCAGGTAGCAAGATAGTAAAAATAATACTGGCAATATCTCCTAGGACGTTAGCAACAGGCATGTCACGCTCAGGTGGGATTAAACCAAAACGGTGGACAAGCACGCGTCATACGCAGCTATCCTGAAGCGTCATATTATAGCAAAGGAATGAGATCGTGATTGGAGGAGGAGGCTAAGCCACAGGGGGATGGACAAAGGAAACCATAACACAAACGCCATTGGGGCTGCTCATAGCCATAGCAACAAGTGTGTTTAACCAAACGTGTTCAGTGTCCCTAGGACCCCAGCAAGGCAGTCGGGATGCACCAATCGACACCAACTTCCAACTGAGGGTTTTCATTTCTCTCGACCAACTCATCGCTTGGCCTCCCCTCTTCCTCCTCCAACCGCACGCCCAGAGCGCAAACAATGCATGCCGCGGGAGTCGCTGTGCTGGCATGCGCAACAAGTGGCCTAGCCATCGGAGCCTGGTGCGTGATATAATGGTGCGGAGCGGTTCACTCGCTCCTCCTGCACCAAATACGCGACGCAGAACACGCTCATTGCTCACGTGATGCTCCCACCAGACATGAGCTAAGCTGCGAAGGCAGCGATGATCGAACGTTTTAAGGAATAAGGAGCCACTCTCAATCCAAACCCCAACCTGGAGGACCAGGAGGCTGAGTTTGTCTGGCTTCTAACCATTGACCAACATGGTATGAGTGACTGTGAAGGTGCGAAATTCCACCACCCAGTATAGCTCAATGGATCACTGAGACACACAAACCATCGCACCACGGTAAGGTCTAGCCTCATTGCGATAACAGGGAGAGTGATGACACGTCTGCGCTACAGGTGGCGGAGATTGACAAAAGCACCTCAAGCTTTTGCTATACGGTTCGTAATCCAAGCTTCGATCCCACGAGCGCCAATATAGCTGCTCAGCTACTTAAATTCCTGAACGACTTCTAGCTGATCACAAACAAGGGTCAGCGCAGGGGTGCATCCTTGCCAATCTTGGAGAAGAACTCCGCATTTCGATGAAGCAAAGCAATGGGCCAAAGCGATTGACAACGAATGCTAATCGGTCCAGTGCAGTCTGGCACGTTTGAGTGCTGTCACAAATGACGGCAATGTCGTACGCATATTCCAAGTCACGAATCCGCTCACCAGTAAGTAGCTCCACACCTTCTAGGTCGCATACAGTGAACGTTGTTCCCATGACTCCATCAATAGCGAAGTTAAAGAGGAAAGGTGACAGCAGGCAACCTTGTCTCACACCGTTGGAGATATTGAAGAGCGGTGACAGTTTGCCATAAACCCTCACTCTGCCCGAACTATGCACGTACAGCGCTTTGATAATGCTTACATATTTATCGGGCACACATTTTCTCAGCAGACAGTCCCAAAGGGCACATCGATCCACCGAATCGAAGGCAACTTTGATGTCGAGAAACATGACAACGAAGGATCGCCAAAAAACATGACGGTGCTCCAACAGTTGACGCAAAGTGAAGATGTGATCGATGCAACCTCGATTTCGATGAAACCCGGCTTGCTCAAGGCGGATGCGGCCTTCATGAGCGCCAGTTAATCTGTGCAGAACGACAGAGGTAAGCAATTTAGAGGCAATTGGGATCAGATTGATCCCTCTATGGCTACCGCATTCCGAACGGAGCGGATCCAGTCTGTCGGGACAGTTTCCTGCTCCCAAAGTTCTACTACCAACTCGTGTAAATCATCTGCAAGAGCAAATCACCCGCATTGGTAGTGAGCTGGGAGAATTCTATCCGACCCTGCGGCCATTTGCAATCTCAACAGTCTGATCTCACGTTCGACTTCTGCGCGTGAGGGCGAATCTAAGATGACGGCCCAAGGAGAAGGGAACTCAATGCCTGAAAGAGAAAGCGATAACTCAGATTGGTTAAACTGCCTTGTCAAGTGTTCGGCCCAACACTCCAAGTGTTCTGACAAGCTGTGGATCGGCTTTTCACTCTCGCCGTGTATTGCCTCGCTAACACCAGGTCTCCTGCTACCTGTTTCCCGTATCAGACGGAATAACACGATGATTACCACCGGCTGCGGATGTTTCCACTTCCGATGCACGATGAGACCACAACGTTTCGCGGTCTCTCTTCAGGCTAGCAGGTAGCTTTTCTCTAAGATTTTTGCGTGTCTCATTGTATTCACTTGCAGCCAGAAAACGTCGGAAAGTATCCATAAGTTCCAGATCCCTTGAAGAGACTCAATGTCTAGGTAGGCAATTTGATTTGCCACATGAAGACATGCCTGCGGATAGTAACGTTTGACGAATATGCGACCAGTGATCTTCGACGGTGTTCAGTGAACGCTTACTCAACCCAGATGCCAGGGTATTATGATACGAAATCAGAACATCTGGCTTCGCCAGCTGGCTGGTGTCTATGTGCTCAGCTTGAAGTTGCGAACGTCCGCCGAAAGGCACCCGCAGAACAGCACATACAAGAGGGTGATCAGTGTCCATTCCTGTGTTTAAAATCGAGTTCCCCTTCTGGACGCAGCCTCTTAAGCGGAAACAGATCGCAATGTTATCAATTTGCGTCCATGGCTGGCGGGCGCCAAATTACTCTTCTGCGGATGCTGTGTCGAAAGTTAGTGCTCACAAGAAATAAGCGGGAATCTTCACAAAGAGAAGTAATCACTCCAGTTATCAATACAGGAGCCCACCATGTGTTGGCCGCACAGATGCAGTTCACGAGTGAACAATTACCCAAATTGAGTTTTCAGATTCCTCGCCATCACTTCAGTGTCCGCGCTTCTTTTGTGGCGATGTAGCACGTTCGGTAGACGATAGAAGTCGTCTTTTACCGAATCATCGCTGAAGTTTGTGGGCGCGTAGACAACGATGAAGAATGTACTCCTATTAGTTCCGCGCGACTTCGAAGCTTTGAACGAGTCAGCCAATAGGACCGCACGTATCCGGCTACTGATTACCATTCACTCATCCAGAGCAGCTTCAGCCCGCGGACATTAATATCAACACCGGTTTGGCCGGTACTCGAAGCTGCATCGACACCGGATAGGCGCAATGAGAAAATACTGCTTGCGTCACCTGAAGGGGGATCACAGAGTGAGCACAGAGCTCGAGTCTTGCAGGCGGATATCCGATAAGCAGCAGATATCGATCGAGAGTGTCTCCAATGTTCGGGCAAGTGCTGTCTGTTGACCGACCTGTAACAATGTGGATACATCGAGGCATGCTAATCTGAGGGAGGATCGAGGGCTCCAAATGGAAGCCGACGAACTGGGCTTGACCGCTTGGTTGGACATGGGCTTGTCGATATGGCAATAGTGACACACCGCGTTTGCATGCGAGTTGGAACTGGAAGATAAACGCCTATCAAAGCATGGTGGGGGAGGGTCAAGAATTGTGGAGTTGAAAACGGGGGGGGGGGGTAAAAGTAAAGTTGGAATGGGATGATAAGGATGAAACAGCGTAAGTGGGGGAATAAAAAGACGGGAAGCCTTGAACAGTAGCATCAAAACCCTATCCACTCTGCTCGGTGCAGATTGGGACCGACAGCATCAAGAAATCGTTTAAAGAAAGTTTCATAGTATTGTGTGGACAGAATACTGTCAGGTTTCCCAAGCCTAGACAGGAGAACGACTGGGGTTCTCAACCAAAGCCTTTGGTTTAAAAGCCTGATCACAATGCAGTGGGTATGGTAGTGGGCTACAAAGAGTCCGTTTTAAGGAATAATGAGCCACCCTCACTCCGACCCCCAACGTAGAAGTTAGCAACTAAATAGAATACATCTCACATGCGCCACAGGATCGTTGATAATCATTGGTTCTGTCGACCAAGTGAACCTCATTTGGGAAGATAGCATGACGCAACATGACAAGTTACGAGAATTAATATTCTTACACCTCTCTGCAACATCGCCGACTCGCTATCCCACGACGTCGGTCGACCATGTGCAACGGCCATAAATAAATACATGCCGGAGTAGGCGGTCATGACCAAGTAATGTAAATGGTTAAATTGTAACAGACGATCAAGCGCAGAGGTATAAAGGTTTCAGGAAAAATCGAATGGCGCAGTCGCATCAGAACTGAGCGACAATACGTAGACATCAGTGGTCAAGAATCAAACCTCTTAATGTCTATGAAGCATAGTGATCTTGCCTCAGCTCAAGTGTGACACGCACTTTGCTGTTGAACATGGCCCATGACCGATCAGGCTGCATCATATCACATCCAAGATGAATGTGGAACTAAAAAGTCACACGGTGTGCACTGAGAGACAGAGAAATCCTCTGTGACATCGCGGAAGTGAGAAAGATAGCAAGATAAACGGAACAAATCGCCATCTCGATTGGTTGTTCGGAAGTAACCTACGTGTGATTGTCTAGTCGGCTTCGCAACTTGTCAATCTAGCTTAGTTAGTCCTCGAAAGTAAATATTTGGAAGAACGGAGCAGGGTACGACCATTGAAACATCAAGGGTTAGACGCAACCCGTCATCAAGAATAACCGCGATAACGAGGAGGCATAACGTAACCCAAAGTGTGGGAAATTCAGAGAAGTAGTGGTCCTGCAAGACCGTTTTCGCAAGACATAGGAAATGCCGACTAGTAATAGTAGTTTCCACACTGCAACTGACCTGTTCTGTCTCCACAAAGTTGGCGACATACCCACGATCGTCTACTCCGCGAACATGGAAGCGTGTTCCAGGTCTTCTGGATGAAACACGGGAGATGATGCCCAAGCGAGCCTGTTCCGCTCCACAATAGACAGTGCAAAGTTCAAAAAACCCGCAGATAATCGGTGTAACCCACTTATCGGGATTGACGCCCCATTGGAAAAACGGATACATCAGGCCCCCATTCCACAGAAATTCCATCCCAATATCGTTGCGCAAGCGTAGATCAGTGTTGGTAACGGATCCTCCACTTAAGTACCGACTTTGGATGTTGGTCGTTAGGTCGTAAGGTGACCCGTCCGCAGTAGTACGACCAAAGTAGAAAGCACCGGAGGAAAGAAGCTTGCGTACCTGTCAAAATAATGGACAATGAAGTTCACAGTTAAGAACTCAGACATACACTGCAGCCTTTGAAATGTTTCCAGTGGGAAGCGTAACAAGAGTAGTAGTAGAAACCCAGTGACTTTCCAAGAGCAGAAATGTGAGTGGAAATTAAACCCCGCTATCATAGGTTCTCCTTATAAACGCCACAAATATTTGATTACCAACAATGAGGAGTAATGGATGTGACACATAAATAAATAAAATCATTTTCCATCCCTTTACGCTGGTGTAGTATTGTAATACAGCAGCTTGATGTTGAAGTTGTGGAGAACATCGAGCCCCTGTTTGTTAACCGACAAAGCATAAGGTGCATGAGCTGAGAAATTAGTAACCGGCTCCCAATGAGTGCGTTTTCCCTGATTTCGCCCCGCTGTCTTGCGGGCAGGCCGTTAAGCCAAAGGCTCGGAGCAGTGCTCCTAAGGCCACTTTTTACTTCGATCTAAGGAGCCGAGTAGTATCAGACTTTATAACAAAACCATGAGTTCTAGAAAAACTACGTCGCACTCCTGCGCTCCCGAGTACCCCCTACATACATTATAACACGTCAAATGACCTTCGATATTGATTCTCGCTTCTCTGAATATAACCCCAACGCCGAGATTGGAAGCCTGGGTTAGTGGCTCCCCTTCGGTACTGACCTCCATGCCGTTTGGGAATCAATGTAAAAACCCTCAACAAAGTTGGGCAGTGGGCAGACCAAGTGCATACTTTGGAGTTCCTCGCTCTCAATACATACTGCCTTCCCAAAATCTGATAACAGGACTTAAACACAGTGCTTGTAGTGACATCTGCTAATCCCAGAACCAAATTATTCTAGCATCTGTCTGGTTACACAGAAGTGACCAGATCACAGTCGAGTTTGCATCGTCTTTAGTCGCAAAGCTTTGGTCGCACTGATGCACTCATTCCTGATTGACAGCCGACTACGTGCAGTCCAATTTCAGCGCACATGCAAAATCAACAGATATCGTGGGAAGAGACATAAGTTGCCTGTGATTTTTGCCTACTCCCCGAATAACTATGGCTGTGCATTGGTTAAAAATGAACTTCATTGAAAACTCCAAACCGTGAGTAAAGCTGAAAGATGTGGGTGTCCTTACTGGAAACTTCAACGCACAGGACCGCCAAATGCTATTAAGTGAAAGTCATGTTGGTAGCCGTTATGCCCATATCTAGGCTCGTTTACGTTAAGTGGAGACATTCGCCTGTTTCTCTTAAGCACAAAGCATACGAGATATTCTGCCACTTGGTGTCCCCTTCGCCAGCGAAAGCGTGGTCATGGATCGTTTACTAGGTAATCAGCTTAAGAAGACAAGGCGGCATGTGACTGCAGAGCGATTTGGTCCACCCACTTCGACTCAGATCAAGCTCTGGTCTATGCGCACAGTCGCATGGGTTTGGGACTTCTTGAAAACAAAGCACTGTATGCTCAATACCGAAAGAATCACTGATATTTCGATTCACTTGAATTATAAATCTTCCTTATCAGATGCGACCACTATCGCTCCACCTCAAGATGTGGAGCATAATTGTTTCTTTCAGAATACGATTCATTCTCCCGGCCAATCAATCTGTGAAATCGCATGTCATCTGCTAAAATGTTGGATCTCCATTAGCTCCCTGAAAATGTTCAATCGTCGCCGAACTATCTCAGTTGATAAGAATAGCATTGAATTAGGCCACAACCTCAGTCAGTAATTTAAGCAAAGCTTGTGAAATGATCGCGAAATTGGATGGTGTCAGCACACTTCAGAGACAGGCCGTAGTTCCCCAACGAAACTTTCGCAAGCTCTTCCAACACATTTGGACCATTGGACCTGGAGTCTTTGAGACCATTTGCGAGGTTGATAGAACACCGAACACCCATATACAAACACACATACACCGCTGAGCAGGGCACTTCCACTCTCAACCCACGTGCCCTACTCCGTTGCCTGTCTACTTTTAAGTCAGTTAACGCACGCGCTGGAGAATTTCACTGAGAAAACCTACCGAAGCGGAGGTCTGCATTGACCTCCGACACCTAAAGCGATTCAAGGCTGTCGGCTCGGAAAGACCTCCTCCGGAGCTATTCAAGTATAGTGGCGAGGTATGTAGTAACCAGTTAACAACTGCTCTGTAAGAGTCGGTGTGAAGGTGTGAAGGTTCTATCCTTTTGTGATGAGTCGGCTATCGTCGCGATTTTTAAGATGTAAATCCGTACCTCATGCACCAACCACAGAGAAATCAGGCTAAAGTCCGTTAATCCGAAAACTGCTGGCATTAACTCTTCCGCAGACTAACATTGATTCGATAACTGCACTCTCATGAAAAACAGGCTGGTTTCCGCCAAGGTCAAGAGTGTGCAGTCCACATGTTCACGCTCCGTCAACTACATGAGCACAGTCAGTTTTATCCCCAGCTTATTTGGAACTCCTGGATGTGGTTGATTCGGTCGATCGGCCTGCGTCATGTCAATTCACGCAGATTGGGATGCCCGAATAGTATACGATATTCTTCGAGTATTATACTTCGACTTCTCAGGCAGAGTAGGGCCTTGTGGCAACCTCTCTTCGCCTTTCGCGACTACTGCCGGTGTAACACAGATAGAAAAGAGAGCAGCAATACATCGGTACACCGTACGGATGCTTCGCGGACATGCGACCACCACCAGTCGCACGTGGGCTGAGCATACCGCGAGATCGCTCGAACATAAGCGGATTCGGAGTAGCGACCTCCGGATTACAAGGCAAGGGAGTAATCCTTTTGGTCACCGTCCGATGTATAGGACAGAGATGCTTTAGGTCTCCGCTTGTGTTCAATATTTCAATCGTGGTAAACCTACTGATGACTGGGAAGCTTGCAAGGTTCTTCTGTAAAACTTCTTTCAGGAAACCGAGAGACTGACATAGACTGCTCATAACAACACTGCTTGGTGACGACCCCAGAATAAAATTCTAAACCGTTTTTCGATCGAAACATCTGGGTATAGTAGGACATATAATCCCACGAAAGTCAATGTCATATTAGCGATTGGCATTTTATTGCTCGAACGAATGGACAGTTGGATTTCTGCCGATTGCACTATTGGAAGAGATACGCCGTCGCGCTACGGAAACCCGATCAGCGTTCGCCAATCTGAGGCATCGGTAGTGTCATCAAGACGTTTCACTCTGGGTTAAGGATGGAGTCAGCAATGCCTGCGTTCGCGATGTGCTGCCGCGCGGAAGCAAGACCTAGTCGATCCGCGTGAATGATATGCGTCGCATTTCGGGTGCTTACAGAGGACAGCTCATGTGTGAGATGTTGCATTCTAGGTAATACGGATCTTCATCGTCATCCGTTACGCAAATGGTTCCTGGTAAACGCTGCAGCGCTTGTGACAGACGTTTCTGGAAGATGTCGCTGGATACTTTTAACCCAAATGGTAGAGGCACCCACCGGAATCACCCGAAAAGTGCCGAATGTTGTCAAGTAGCTAGATTCCCGTCTAACACGAGGTGCCAACATGCGGAAGCCAGCTCGACCTTCGTGAAAAACCTTACCTTTGACAGTATTGGCAATAGATCGTCCAGCGTCGACAGGTTGTTGTCCCTTCGAAGAGCAGTATTAAGTGGTTTTGGATCAATACACACTAGCAAACCGTCGGACTCCTCAGTGACAATGGCTACTTGACTGATACAATCTGTCGGTTCGCTCCCTTTTGTTACTGCCCCGAGTGCATCTAGGCGCTCCAGTTCTCGAGAAAAGTTTACGCGCAACGCTATAGGCATTAGAACCATTGGCACGACGGACTCGTTTAACGACAGACGTGCAGACCCATTAAATATCTTTACTGCTTCGTTAAACACGCTAGGATAGTGATCCATGATATTTGTGGCTGACACAAATTTCCAAAGCGTCCATAGTTAAAAGAAACAAAAACGAGCTGTTGAATAGAATCAAGGCCCAGAATGGGCAGGAAACCTCCATGTACCACGACAAACTCGATGTGGTGGCCTGTTCTGTCCTTTGGATTGGTGATTTCCAGTAAGGCGCTACCTTTGGACTGACATTTTGAGCCATTCCACATCTTGAGATATAGTTTTTCTTTGCTACACTGCACTCTAGGGTAGTACTTCTCCAGCAGGATGTTAACCATGGCTCCTGTGTTTAACAGGAAATGCACAGGTTTCTTCTGGAGGACAACAGTCGCACATACACTTCTTTTGTCACCCAGATGTTGTATGTTAATGGAGAGCTCTGGATCAACCGGTAAATCGTAACAGTCAAGATTTTCAGCTCGGTGATGTAGTTATTGACTGCTCCACCAGGGAGGCAGTCACGACCAAAAAAATAGCGTTGGTAGGTTTGATTACACTTTACTTCGTAAAATCCACCGAAATTTTGCATCAAAGTGTACAAATCTTTATGTTCGCCGTCGAAATTCATTGTTTCCAATACGAGTCTTACGTCATCGCCAGTCATGTGTCGGAGCATTATCAACTGGTAGTCTACCGGCCGGTTGTGTAACTGTGTCAGTATGGCGAAATCCATCCATTTCGTATTCCGCAGCAGCCAGATTTTGGGCAACGCGCTCAACTGACTCAGCATGGAAACCAATGACTGTTCTCCAAGGCACTGCCGCGGTTTGCTTCCTGGGTTCTTTTTCTTTGTTACCACGTTGTGATGCACTTTCAACATGTAAAAGTCGTACTTCGCGACGATCAAGACTATTTACATTTAGAATAAAAACTCTATCTATGTATTACAGAAACATAGCAAAGTTCTAGTAGTCGGAGTAAGTCCGTACTTACCACCTTGCTGGGCTTCCGAAGAGCTTAGACAGCCTATACGCGCTTTCATATTTCCTGCAACAATAACGACAAATGGACTTGTAACACTGCGAAGCGGCGTATTCAGTTCGTGACAAGTGTCATTGGCAGCATCACAACTGCAGTCAATGGGAGCGGCAACCACAAACAAATAGCGTCTAGTGCTACTTTACG